AATACAAGTATAAACATTTTACACTCTTTGCCGCGCTTTGAAAAGGAAGCATGAAAGAGTTGAAGGTTTTTCATTATTAGGCGTGTGATGCAACTTTGTACGCTTTTTGAAGACGAATGGAAAGTTGATGGCTTATATTAGGTTAGATTACGGCCTTAGGGGCAGAAATATATAAACGTTTACAAAAGAAGAACCTGGATATTTAATAGCAGTTCAAGCAATATTGTATTTTCACTAGAAAGAAGCAAGAGTATATATGGAGGAAAAAAATCCCATCTTTTAAGGCTAGAAAACTCTAATACAAAAATTAATATCATCCCATTAACACATAAAAACGATAATCCAAGAAAAACACAAATGTGATATATATAAAAAATTGGACGAAGGAATACTTTGGTGAAGTATGGCCAACTTTATAATGCTATGAGATGAAATTGATTGGTTTCTTTTGTCTAAATAGAAATAAGAGTATAAGATATGGCTGTCTAACATATCAAGAAATTATTGTGTGATGCAACAAATCAAGTGCCTAACCTAAAAAGTAGATAATAAAAGTGCGTAAAATATAAAAATCAGCTCACCTGCCAGTTTCCTTGTGGAATTGAGCACTATAAGAGCAGTATAGAGAGTCAGTCCTGCACTGAAAATTATCAGCAGAATTCCCAGGGTAAAGCCGGCCTAAAACAAAAAAATAGAGACAGTATAATTCACAGATAACGCTACTGATCTCATTATTATATCAATAGTCTAATTATATTAATAGAAAATTGATTCAAGATGAAATCCCACATTAGACTCATGGAAACACGAAGTGACAACCACCATTTCGTCTATCGGTCTCGCATAACGACCTGCCTTGTGCATTTAGACCAGGCCTTAGCTGAATGTTAGGCAAGCTCGCATTTATGACGTTAGACATTTAAGATAAATAGAAAACCAGTCAATGGCCACTTTGGCAAAAAGAACAGATAAAAAGAGTAACTGGATTTTGATGAAGCTCTCGAGATAACATTGTTGGGGGACTTTCCTTTCGTATGAATGGGCATGAAGAACGGATTCGTAGGTCGTGCTCAACAGAAAAGGATGGCTGGATCCCGTTGTACTGCAGCTTTTATACGACGTTCAGGTTGACGCAGTCCACGAGACCCATGCAAGATAATCGGCTAAACTATTCCATATCTATATAGGTTTTTTAATTTTCTTTAGCTTAATTGAACTTTTACAAGGTGCAAGACAGAGCCGGATAGCTTTCTTGTTCTAGTGTTAACTTGAAACTTTCACAAAAATGAGTTCCAGCTCTGATGATGGACGAAAGCTCAGCCCGTTTTCACCAGAAACGTGCGAGAAGGTATCGTGGACTGCGTCACCCTGAGCGTAGTATAAAATTCAAACAGCTGCAGTACAACGGGATTCAGCCGTCCTCTGTTGGTGAGATCGACTTACGAATCTCTTTTCCATGCACTTTCATACGAACTCAAAGTCCCCCCAACAAAAATAACAGATTTTTCGCCCGCGTGTAACCTTGGTAAATGCTATCCATGTCGACAATTATGCATCAACACTGGTTCCTAGTAGAAGAGTGTAGAGATAAGAGGCATGTCAAGCTATAGAATGCTGAAGCCCGGTACGACTATTATCACGAAGAGACCAAGGGGCACCTAGGGCCGATTGCAAGGATACAATGAGTCTACCGAAATTAGCCAAGACAGAAAAGCGTAGATTTAGAAGAAAACTTGTCAAGAGACCGCCTGGGACTAGGTCGATTTGCTTTGTGTTGCAGGTAGAAAAAAATTCAGTTCTGTAACTAAGCGACTCTAGTCTAATATGGGTCAATGGTAAACGTGTTAGTAGATAAAACCGAAATGTCTACGGTTTGATTCCCGAGGTACTGATGCGAAAAGTGACTATTATAATACCTTATTCTTGCCTCTTCAATCATGATCAAGAGCAAATGTAAAGTAAATTTGCAAAAGAAGGCAATTAAGTATATGACGAAAAATATTTGTATCTGTCATAGGAGCTAAGATCGATGGACAATCATACTTAATTTATTTAATATGTTCGGTGGCGCTAGAGGCCAAACATGATCATGAAAGCCAAGTTAAGGGTATGCCTCAGGCAGCAAACGGCAAAAAAGTCTTAGAAGGTGGAAAACATGTGTAGGGAGCTGCATGTTTAACTCAAGGAAAAAATAGATAGAGACTTATCGCAACGGCTAAAGATAAATTATAAATATTTAAATTGACATTAAGTATTATAAATTGTTCTGTAGTGGCTCTTGGGAGAAAGGCAATGTGTCGACTAACATTAAATGATGACGAATTAGTAATTCATATGCACTTCAAACGTGGAAGCAATGTTTCTTCTAACTAAATGCTATTGGAGCATAGAGGGTTGTCAATATTCTCCCAATGCAATAAATCTTCTTTGATAACCAGGAAATACAAAGAAGGCAAAAACTAGCATAATTATGCAATGCAATAAAATATCATTCTTAGACTTTGGATCAACATATTCCGCAAAAATGTTAAATCCTAACAGGAAGAACGAACCTGCAAGATTGCCCAGGGCATAGTGAGGAGGGATGTTCCCATCATTGTATTCCAGAGGGAAAATCTAAAATGGGGTATTGAAAAGAAGCAATTGAATCGCCATTGGACTAGCACGATAAATAAATAATTAACGAGTTTTCAGGATTTTTGAATGTGTGAACAGCCGCTTAATGCTTTTTAAGAGCAGTCGTTTAGTGACCTTGAAGTTGATGATGATGAGTTTGAGCTTACGGATAAAAAAGTGTCCTAAGGTTCTGGGGCTAAATAATTTTAGTGTGAAGCAGCCATCAGCATGTAAATCGTCGAACAAACGTCTGAGAATGTGCCAAGTCCACTGTCTGATGCTGGGAATTATGATAATTACTATGGCAGAGGACTTCAGACAAGATGTGTTCTACTAAGTCCCCCTGACAAC